GTTATGTATGAACCTTGAAAGCATGACGCTAGGACCGGCCCTGTGGCTTAGCGGTTAAGTGCGCGCGCTCCGCTGCTGGCGGCCCGGGTTTGGATCCCGGGTGCGCACCGATGCACCGCTTCTCCGGCCATGCTGAGGCCACGTCCCACATACAGCAACTAGAAGGATGTGCAGCTATGACATACAACTATCTACTGGGGCTTTGGGGGAAAAAAAATAAATAAATAAAAATTAAAAAAAAAAAGAAAACATTACGCTAATGTGTGGCCTTTTGTATCCGCTTGTTTTTAAGAAATGAGTATTATGGACACATTTGGAGACTCGTACTGTATCATTCTGCTTATCCCAAAAGAGGCAAATCCATAGAGACAGGAAGGAGATCAGTGGTTGCCGGGGGCTGGGGGAGGGGAGTGACGGAGGGGTACGAGGTTTTGTTTTGGGTGATGAGAATGTTCTGGAACTAGATAGTGGTGACGGCTGCACAACTCTGTGAATGTACTAGAAACCATTGAACTGTACACTTAAATGGGTGAATTGTGTGGTATATGAATCAGATCTCAATTAAACTGTCAAAAATGTTAGCGTAATGTTTTCAAGGTTCATTCATAACATTCATCCTTCGTAAGTGTCCCGCTGATGAGTTTTAACAGATGTTTACACCTCAGCTGTTTGGCAACCAAAATCAAGTTATGGGACATTTTAATCCCCCAAGGCGTTTCCTGATGCTTCTCTGCAGGCAGTGCCCCCTCCGCCCCCAGCCCCTCCACCCCTGGCTGGTTTCTGTCCCTGTAGCTTCCGTTTTCCCCAGGGTCGCGTAGACGAAATCACGGCGTGTGGAGGCTTTTGTATCTGGCTTCTTACGCTTAACAAGTGCTGTTGAGGGTTGCCGTGCTCTGGCGTCATCAGGAGTCGGCTCCTTCCTGTCACTGAGCAGTTTTCCAGTGTCTGATACACGCGGCTCATTTGTCAGTCGGTGGACATGGGGGTTGTTTGAAGAGCGTATTTGTTATCGATGGGCGTTTAGGTCAGTCACGGTCCTAGAGGCTTCCTAGCCTTTGCACAGGCGTGTCCTCTGCCGGGAGCGCCCTCCCGTCTTCCTTTCCCGGGAAGCCCAACTCATTTGTTCAGTACCCAGCCACACGTCGCCTCTTCTGGGCAGCCTTCCTGACCGTCCAGGAACGGGCTCGGAGGGCCTGGTTGAGTAAGAGGGAGTGAGGTCCAACGAGGGATTGCCTTGGTCCTCTCTCTCACTCTCTGTGTTCCGGCTGTGATCCTTGACCCCATGGGAGGGGGTGGGGATGGAATCAGCAAAAGGCCGAGCTTGGCCAGGGCCGCTGTCTAATCAGCTGCCTGGTCCAGATGGCTCTGGTCTGGCGTGACCGAAAGGGTGCTGTCCCGCTGATTATACGCAGTGCAAAGTCCGTCCCCACCTGAGCTCGGTCCCTTCATGCCAGGTGACTGCACGGCTGACCTTCTGGGTGCCCTGGCCCTGCCAGGCTCTGTTCTAAGCACTTTCCCTCTGCAAACTCGTCTAAACCTCACCAGCCCTGTGAGGTGGGCGCTGTCATCACGCCTGTTTCACGGATGAGGAAACCAAGGTGCAGAGGGGCCCAGTGACTTGACACCATACCAGGCAGAGGGCAGAGCTGGGTCACTGGAGATGCCCTGTGAGCAAGTCCCCGATGCAGGGGTGTCACCCCAGGGCCCCGAAGCCCCTTCTGTCAGAGAGAGACAGACATGTGGCTTTATCTGGTGACGCATCGGTTTGGCCCTGATTCATCCCCACACCAGGGTGAGCAGGCCAGTGGATGAGGAAAGCACAAGGGGCTTCTGGGATTCTGGAGGCTTCTCTGGGCCCAGCTGCCTTTGCCAGGAAACAGGGCTGGGGGAGGGACGCAGGAACCGGAAACCGGTTTTTTTGATCACTTTATTGAGGTATGATTGACATAAAAAAGCTGTACATATTTGATGTCTGCAACTTGATGAGTTTGGAGATAAGTGCACACCCCTGGAACCATCACCATCGTCTATGCACAGACATATCCATTGCCTCCAAGCGTTTCCTTCCATCCTCTTTATGATTGCTGTTACTATTATTTGTTTTGCTGTGCAAGATGAATAAGTCCTGGAGATCTCCTGTGCCCCATAGTGCCCGTACTTAACAACTCTGTGCTGTGTACCTAAACGTTTGCTAAGAGGGTAGATCTGACGTGTGTGTTTATTACACACACACAAAGAAGGAAACTGGGATCGATGGTGCATTTTCTCCTGGCGGCGTGTGCCAGCGGAAGCCAGGATCGTGGGGACCCCTGGTTAGAGCCCCATGAGTATCTTTCCTGTGGGTGAGGGGATGGCGGAGGGGGCGTGGCGGGACGGCCCCCTCTGTCGCTGCTTCCCGTGGGCCTCTCTTGGTTAAAATCTGAGGATTTCCATCCTGGATGACCCCCCCTCCCACAGCAGCCTCCAGGCTGAGGTGTGAGTTCCACTCGCAGAGCCTGTGCCGAAGGGGTCCGGGGGATCACCTCTGGTGTCAGACCTGCTGCGGGGCCTGGGGAGAGCCACCCAACCTTGGTGGGCCTCAGTTTCCCCATCTGTAACACAGGAGGTCACCCCCTCCGGAGCTGACGGTGGTGAAGTGCTCCAGCAGGCCTGGCAGAGGGGCGGCCTGCGGGCCGGCTGTGGCCTGGGATGTGCCATTTGACTCCTGGGTGTGTCTGATTTTGAAAAACAAGTTGATATAGAAACAATCGAGAGATTCCGTAGAAAGATCTGGATTTCTGGCAGCCCATGAAACATGGGAGGATCTGGAGCAACTGAGCCCTGGGGACCCCAGAGGGGACCCCAGAGAGGACCCCGCAGAGGAGTAGCGGTGGCTGCCTTCGGTTGGGGGTGACCGCGTCGGATCACCACGCCCCCCACCCCGGTGCTCCCCGAATTGCCCGGATGCGTGGGACGTGTCAGGATGGAGTGGGGGCCGGGCCCTCCCCCGCGGCTGTACTTGGGGACACGGCTTCCGTTCCTCGCCCGCTTCCCCGGCCGGCCCCAGGGCCGTGGCCGCGCTGCCCCTGCCTTCCAGAGTGGGGCTGAGGCTGGACACTGACTTCCCTCCCTGCCCGGGCCTGGGGAGCGGAGCACTCGGGCCGGCCCCCACCGGGTCTTGTGGCCCCTTTCCTCACGCGGAGGGGTCAGCGGCAATCTGTCCCCTGCCCCTCTCCCCCAGCCCCACTGAAGGGGAGCCTCTCGACACAGGTCAGGCGGCGGGCGGGGGGCAGCCCCTGGAGGCTGCTCGCTCACTCGTGTCTTTGTTACAAGCGGCAGAGGAAACAAAAAACTAAGGCTAAGAGCGGCTGCCTCGAAGGGCCAAGGGCCGTGGTGCTGGTCAGGAGGTGATAATTCAGGAAAGATCTAGAACAGCCTGGCACGCAGCCACACCTGGGAGGTGCTTGCTTTTGTTGCTGTGCTCGTATCCTGTTTATTCGTCGCTTTATTTGCACGTGTTGGATGCTGAGGTTGTGCAAATGGTCCTCGTGGCCCCGCAGCTGGCAGGAGGATGTGCTCATGGATAAACATTGTTACACCTGAAGCCAGGTCTCAGATTTTATATTAAATCTCCCGGTTTTCATTCTTGGCAGTGAGTCCTACTTTTCCTCTTGTAAATGCGTGTAGGCCAAAGGAGACACGGCTGAGGCCACAGAGTCGCTGGCCCCTTCTACAGACGGGAGGACTGGGGTTCAGAGGTGACCAACTCGCCCGGGTGGCCCTGGGGTTGGCTGCCTCTGTGTCCACCCCTTCCCGGGGTCTCCGGCCGGGGGCGTGGGGCCGGCTGCCGCCCTCTGCCTCCTCCAGGCCTCTGCCTGCTGGTCATGGCTGTCTGGACAGCGGGGTGGCTGTCCGTGTCCCAGAAGGCCACGGTCAGGGGAAGGTGGATGGTGACACAAGTGCCCGGCCGCCTAGCTCTGCGTCATCGGCGCCTATCTGATGGGCTGGCCACTCAGCCGGGCCGGCTCTGAGGGGACGTGAGCCTTGAGGGGGCCGCTGGTGTGGCCAGGCCAGGTAGGGGATTGGGTGGCACTGGGGGGACCTCCTGTGGCTCCGGGGCAGGGAACTGCAGAGCTGAGGAGCGAAGCCAGGATTAGAGGCCACCGTATCTGACAGACAGCTGCCCGCTGGGCTTCGGGCCTGTTTCCTTCGGCCCTTTAAGAAAATCAGGTTTTTGCCAAGCTTCGTACATCAGATCTCATATAAATTTGTGTATTTCTGGCTTTTCTTGGAAAACTGCTCATCCTCATCTCCTTCTGGTCTCTCCCTCACAGCTCTGCTCCTTGCTGTCCCTCAACTCTCTGTCTCGGCACCTCCCTGCCTCAGGGCCTTTGCACTGGCTGTTGCTTCCACGTGGACTTGCCCCCCACCAAATCCGTGTGGTCCCTCACTGCTCACTGCCTGTGGTTTCTGGCTTGGTTTGTTTTTTGCTAACCTCTCAGCTACCTGACAACGCTGTGTAAAACTGCAGCCCTCGTCCCCATCCCTGCTCTGTTGCCACCGTGCTCTGCCACACAGCAGGCATTTTGCACTGGTTGTGGCATGCCTGCGTTTCTCCTGCTGGGATAAGAGCCCCACAGAGCTGTGCGTTTGGGTCTGACTTGTTCACTCTCCCACCCCCAGCTCTTAGCAGAGGGCCTGGCGTGTAGTTGGTCCTCAGTAACTGTTTGCTGAGTGAGTGAATGATCGTTTGGCCACACGGAGCCCCCCTTCCTGCAGGGTGCCCCGTGCTGTGGCTGAGTGGCAGCCACCTCCTGGTCCCCCCATCAGGCTACTGTTGTTAAAACACATTGAAAAACAACGATGTGAATAGATGACCTGTTAACCTTCGTTATGTAAACCGCCGCCCCAGGAGCCCCCTCCCTGATGTGCCTGTGGGGTCCAGCCACGCAGGCTGGCTCTGGGCAGCTATTCTGGAGCCATGAGGTGGGACAGGTGGGCATGGGGGCCCTGGTCGCCCTCCTCACAGGTGTGTTTGTCTCGTCCCCTGCAGAATGTGCGCATTGACCCCAGTAGCATGTCCTTCAACATGTGGAAGGAGATCCCCGTCCCCTTCTACCTGTCCGTCTACTTCTTCAACGTCCTCAACCCCGACGAGATCCTCCAGGGCAAGAAGCCGCAGGTGCAGGAGCGCGGGCCCTACGTGTACAGGTGAGGATGGAGGGCTGGACCATGACTCCCGGGTGGGCGGCCCTGGCAGGGTCAACGTCTCAGAGAGGATCGGGATGGGGCCGCCGTGCTGAGCCCCAGAGATTGTTCCAGAAGCAGGCCAGGCACAGAGGGGTAAGTGATGTCGCTGGAGAAGTTCTTTATGGAGCGGTGAGCAGCGGTGACGTGAATCCGGGGGACGGTGTGTGCGTGTGAGGGAGACACACACACAGACACACACACACGCGCCCAGGGCTGGTCTCTAGGCAGGCAGGGCCTGCTCCCCAAACCTGAGCCCCTGCGGGCTCTGACAGCTCTGCCCTGGACATTCATTCAGCACATGCATTGAGCACCTACTGTGTACCAGCACTGTTCTGGGCATTGGGGAGGCAGCAGGGGACGAGACCGACAAAGGGGCCTGCCTCACAGAGCTGACATTGTGGAGGAGGGGGATACAGGTAATTCATAAGGAAACAGATGTCTCGTATGCTGGCAGGGAGTGAGTGTTAAGTGCCATAAAGAAAAGTCCAGCAGGGTAAGGGGATGCTCTGCGTGTGTGTGCGTCTGCGCGCGTGTGTGTCTTTGGTAGGTGGTCCGGCAAGGCCTCCTGGCCTTGTATGCAAGGGAGTGAGCCGTGGAGAAAGGTGTCCCTGGCAGAGGGAACAGCAGATGCAAAGGCCCTGAGGTGGACAGAGCGTGGTGCGTGTGAGGAGCAGCAGGGAGGCTGGTGTGGTTGGGTGGCATGAGCTGCGGGGATTGGCCAGGAATGAGGTCAGAGATGGGCGGCCCCATCGTGCAGGGCCTGGGGCAGAGGGCAGGGCTCTGGAGGGCAGAGCAGGCGAGGGGCTGACAGAATGCAGTGGTGATGGAAGGGCTTGGGGGTGCGGAGGTGGGAAGGAGCCGGAGGTGGAAGAGTGGGGAGCTCGTGTGAGACGGGCCTGGCGGGCCACGCAAGAGGTGGTCTTTGGCCTGGGAGCCCCGGGAGGGAGCTGCCTTGGTGCAAGTTGCTGCCCGAGGGCTCAGGTCGTGCCTTTGTCTGCTGGCCTCGCCTTGTGCTGGCTGTGGCTTCCCCCCTCTGAGCCCCGATTTGCCCGTCTGCAGGCTGGGGACAGTGTCGGCACAATAGCTGCTTCACGGGGTTATGAGGACACTTGCACGAGATAAGGATAGGCTCCAAGTCATTAAGTCGGCGCCCCGGGACGTGGGGCGCGCGTGCTGGGTGGAGGCGCCTTTTGATCCCTCTGTGTCTCATGGAGGCTTTACAGCAGCTCCCCGCCCCCCTTATCACTGCCATTTAGAGGCCGAGGGGTCAGGGCCCGGGGAGGCGAAGTGACGTGCCCCGTCACACGGCGTGGGCACCCCAGGCCCTGCCGCTGCCCTGCGTGAGCCTGCGGACCTTTAACCACGGCCGCTGGCGCCCGGCCCCTCTGAGGGGACACTGGCCCCGCCCTGGCTTTCCTGGGGGTGGGGGCAGAGAATGTTCCAGCTGTGTGAGGTGCACAGCTGGGTTCTGGGCGGCCTCGGATGGGACTCGGCAGATGTGCCCGAGCTGAGTCAGAGTCAGCTGCACGGATTCACTCATTCACTCACTCATTTATTCACTCATTCACTCACTCATTTATTCACTCATTCGCTCATTTATTCATTCTCTCACTCATTCACTCACTCATTTATTCATTGATTCACTCACTCATTACTCACTCACTCATTCCCTCACTCATTCCCTCACTCATTCCCTCACTCATTCCCTCACTCATTCGGTCATTCCCTCACTCATTCCCTCACGCATTCACTCATTCATTCATTCACTCATTCACTCAGTCATTCCCTCATTCACTCAGTCATTCCCTCACTCATTCATTCACTCATTTATTCACTCATTCACTCATTTATTCATTCTCTCATTCACTCACTCATTTATTCATTCATTCACTCACTCACTCATTACTCACTCATTCACTCATTCATTCAGTCATTCCCTCACTCATTCACCCATTCACTCACTCACTCATTCATTCACTCACCCACTCATTTATTCATTCACTCACTCATTTATTCACTCACTCACTCATTTACTCATTTATTCAGTCTTCCCTCACTCCTTCATTCGCTCATTCACTCAGCAAATGTTCACGGAGCACCGACTGGGTGTCTACAGCTGTCGTAGGCACAGGGGACCCAGACGTGGACAAACAGAGAGAGAGTGCTGGGTGCTTGCAGTCGACTTGGGGGAGTCGGAGGGAGATGAACACGTAGAGTCACGTTAGCACCCAAGGGGGCCCCCCGGGGTGTGGAGGGCGTTGCTGCTTTGGCTTTGAGGGGAGCAGGGTGGGCCTCTCCGCCAAGGTGACGGGTGAGCAGACCTGAAGGGGGCGGCTCGGCGGGGTGGGTGTTGGGGTCTGGGGACCCCCGGGGTGGCTGATGAGCCTTGCGGAGGCCTGGGCGCTGGGCGGACTCGGGGGGGGGGGGCGGGTGGCCGCGCGTGGCACTGTGGGGGGAGGTGGCAGGCGGCTGGGCCCGCTGACCCCGCCCCCGCCCGCAGGGAGTTCCGGCACAAGAGCAACATCAGCTTCAACGACAACGACACGGTGTCCTTCCTCGAGTACCGCAGGTACCAGTTCCAGCCCGACAAGTCCTGCGGCCTGGAGAGCGACTACATCGTCATCCCCAACATCCTGGTCATGGTGAGGCCCCCGCTCCGAGGGCGCCGTCTCTCTCGCCGCCCCGCCGGGGGTCCCTGGACGGCGGCTGTGGCTCGCGGGCCGGGCCCTCAGCCCCGTGAGCTGCCCGGGCGCGTCCCCCTGTGTCTGCTTTGGGGGTCCTGGCCCCGTCTTTTCAGTCTGCAGGTCTGAAACCTCCACGAGGAGGTGCTCGTGGGGCTGAGTGGCACCCCAGGCCGCGTCGTCGTCTTGGCCCTGGGGGAGGGCAGCAGGGCCTCCGATCTGTGCGGGCGAGAGTCGCGGCCACAGCTGCAGTTACTGACTGTCATGTGTGTCGGGTCCCAGGACCACCCCAGGGTCGGTGACTGGCCAGGAGGGCTCCCGGGACTCGGCACATGGTGCTCATGGCTGTGACTTATCACAGCGGAAGGTACAGGGCACGGTCAGCGAGGGGACGGCGCAGGGGTGGGGACCAGGCTCAGGCTTCCAGAACTCTCTCCCAGGGGGGTCACACAGGACACGCTGAATCCCGCAGCCACAGGTTGTGACAGCACGTGTGAAGTGTCGTCCGCCAGGGCGCCCAGGAGAGACCCAGCGCCTGGGCTGTCTGTTGGGGTCACGTTGGCCCCCTCTGCCTGGCCCGTCCCCACACCCCAGAGCCCCGGAGGAGGCAGGTGGTCACCGTGAACCGCGCTGTCTGTACAGATGGTCCAGGTGCACAGAGTCCCGCTCATCAGGGAATGGAGGGGACCCTCTGAAATCCAAGTTTCCAGACGCCAGCCGAGGGCCAGCCTTGGCCAGACCGCCCCTAGAGGGTAGCCTCCAGCCCGCCTGTTAACTGCCTCCTGCTGCCACCAAGCGAGCGTTAGGACTGAGTGTCCTGGGGGCTTTACACGTTTACCTTGTTTACTTTCAACGAGCCTATGGGGTAGGTTCTGTTATTTTCTCTATTTCTAGAGGAGGAAAACCGAAGAACAGAGAGGTTAAGTGACTTATCCAGGGTCACCCAGCTAGTAAGGAGCAGATTAGGGCTTTGAACCTACAGAGTTTGGGTCAGGCATCCAGCCTCTGTTGCACTCAGCCCTCCACTCGATCCTTCGTCTACCCAGTCGAGGGTCATCGGACATTTGCTCTGGATCAGGGTGAACTCCCCTAGTGAGTCTGCTGGATGGACGGGGTGGAAGAAGCTCAAATCAGTGTAGCCTAGAGGGCTGACCCGGTGGCGCAGTGGTTAACAGTGTGCAGTCCACTCCGGTGGCCCAGGGTTCGCAGGTTCAGATCCCGGGCACGCACCAACACACCGCTTGTCAAGCCATGCTGTGGCGGCACCCCATATAAAGTAGAGGAAGATGGGCACAGATGTTAGCCCAGGGCCAGTCTTCCTCACACACACACACACACAAAAAATGTAGCCCGAAGCCTTGTGGCCTACTCCCTCAGAGTGAGATACACACATTTTGGCGGTGAAGTCGCTTTCCCCCACCAATCAGGTTGGCCAAGACTGCGTGATAAAGCCCAGGGCTTATGGGCGTTTCTGGAAACACCCTCACAACTGTCGTTAGGAACGGAGCTGGTATGAGCTTTGGAAGACAGTGACCTTCAATGCAATTTGCATATGCCTTTGACCTCAGAGATTTCTTTTGTAGGAATTTGTCCTCTCGAGAGAATAACACACGTGGGCAAAGATGTTTGTACTCAGGCATATTCATTTCAGCAATGTCGTCAAAGCGAAAGTCTAGAAGCAACCGAAATGTTTATCACGTGGACTTATGTTGTGTAATCTACCACAGCCAGGCCGTGGAATAGTATGCAGCCAGCAAAAGGAGGCAGGGCTGCCTGTGGGGAGCAGAATAGTATAGTCAGTGAAAGGAGGCAGGGCTGCGGGGAGCAGAATAGTATGCAGTCAGCAAAAGGAGACAGGGCTGCCTGCGGGGAGCAGAATAGTATAGTCAGTGAAAGGAGGCAGGGCTGCAGGGAGTGGCACGGAGCCGTCCCTAAGGTCCATCTAAGTGGAGGAGAAGTAAGATGCAGGACACGTACGTTGATGGGGCTACTACTTACTGTTTATAAAGGAGAAATGCTTTGCAGGCACACACCCACTCACACGCCTGTGCTTTTGTGTGCCTAGACCAGGGAGGGCACACTTTTCCTGGAGAGGGCCAGATAGTGAGTATTTCAGGCTTTGGGGGCTGCACGGTGTCTGTGCAGCTCCTCAGCTCTGCCGGTGCAGCGCAGGAGCGGCCACAGACAATGACGTGTACGAGAGGACGTGGCTCTGTTCCACGAAACTTTATTTCATGGACGCTGAGGTGTGACTTGCATATAATTTTCATGTTTTTTGGAATATCCTTCTTTTGTTTTTATTCCACCCGTTTGAAAATGTAGAGAACATTCTTGGCTCCACACTGTACACACGCGGGTGGCGGGCTGTGCTGGCCCCCATCATGGTTCGCTGACCCCCGCTGTAGATCCTCTCTGGAGGAACCCCCGAGAGCCCGCGGCAGTGGGCGCCTCAGGGGAGGAGGAGGGGAAGAGGAAGGTTGGGGACTGGAGAGGGACGTTTATTTTATTTCATGTCCTTTGTGAGTTTTTCAAACCATGTTTGGATTACCTTTAAAAAATTATTATAACGCTAAGGAGACCCTGGTGTGTTCCCTGGATCCAGACCCCTACAGCCTGTGTTTTAGGACGTGCTGGCTGTGCTCACTTTTCTACGGGTTGAGATTGGTTTTTGGATGAGGCGCCTTTACAAAATAAACCAGGTGCCGAGACAGTATCTCCAGAGGAAGGCAGAACTTAGAAAATATATTCACCCAGATTTTGGGTAGAACAGATGTTCGAGGTTCTTGCTGTTTGGGAAGGAGACAATAAGGAAGTGGATAGAGTCTTCGTTAAGACTCTTTTGGTTACAGTGTGACAGTGAAAGTTGCTCCAGACTGGCTTAAGCAAAAAGGGAATTTATGGGCTCATGTTCTTGGAAGGATAAGGATTGTTCTGGTTTCAGGTATGGCTCGATCCAGGGTTCGAACAGGGTTGCCTGGGTCTCTGTTGGTTCCACGCTCTGGCAGACCTGCCCCCAGGGTGGCTATAGCCTTGCACACCCCCAGGTCAAGGCCAGCAGGGGGACCCCCGTCTCCACCCTGCAGCCCCAGCAGATTGTCTCCTTGGCTCTGACTAGGTCACGTCCACTTTCCCAGACCAATCACTGTAGGCAGAAGGAGGAAGCTTTCTGATTGGCTGGGCCTGAGCCATGAGCCCTGCTCTGGGGCTGGGGGTGGAGTTAACTTAGCCTGAATCCAGGAGCACGTGTGGTCCTGCCACTGAAGGGTCAGGGCTGGTTCTGGACACTCCAGCCGCCCCACAAGCCCCTGCAGGGCCCTCCTAGGCCCCCGCCTTTCCCGGCGTGGCCTCTGCCTTGAGACCCGGCTTGGAGTCTGCGGGCGGGAGGAAGGAGCGGCCGTGTCCGGCCTCTGACCCGTGCCGCCCCGCCCCGCAGAGCGCGGCAGTGATGATGGAAGACAGGCCCCTGAGCCTGAAGCTGATGATGACCTTGGCCTTCACCACCCTCGGCGAGCGCGCCTTCATGAACCGCACCGTCGGCGAGATCATGTGGGGCTACGACGACCCCCTCATGGACCTCATCAATACCTACCTGCCAAACTTGTTTCCCTTCAAGGGCAAGTTCGGGCTATTTGCCGAGGTAAGTGTGCCCAGCGAGAAGTTCAGGGCTTGTCTCGTCCCCCGTTGACACAGCCTGGAAACTGGATACCAGCTTGCCTTTGGAGCTGGCTAGGGGTCCGGGGCTGTGGGTTGTAAACAGCAGAAAATGTAACTCAAACTGGCATGAGCAAAATACAGAATTTGTTGGCTCATAAAACTGAAAACTCTGGGGATGGGTTCAGGTACAGCTTGATCCAGGCTCAAATGATGTGATTGGGGCTGAGTTAGACAATTGGAGGCTGTGGTAGAAGAAGGAGGAATGGCTGCTGGGGAGGCAGATCACAGATGTTGACTGTAGCATTGCGCTGAGCTGCCTGCTTTTTCTTCATCTTGACCCCTGGTAACCTGGTAGGGTCAGTGATTGGGCTCCTGGGCCATGATCTGATGTAGAGTCTGATCCCTGACCTCTGACCCCTGACCTTGGCTCCCTTGACCACAGGTTTTAACAAGCCCTCTGGGTTGCTTCAGCCTCAACCTCCTCTTTGGGCTCTGCTGATCTGGTGTAGAGTGTTAGGGATGTGGGGATCATGATTCTGTATCTGGCACATGATACGTTTTTGACCAGGATGACAGGTTCTGGGTGTGGGGGTCAGTTGGAAGTTTGGGGTAAGTGACATGATTCTGTAAAAGCATCCTGTAAACTTGTAAACAAATGAAAGTTATTACAAATTCAGTAGCCTACCTATAGTCTATGTTTGACCTTGTGTAATGTGAAAACCCCAAAATAATAGTCCAGCCATGACTGTTCAGTGTTGATATGGTGGCTTCATACTCTTTAGGGATCTAGAATCCTACTACTATGCTCTGCTATCCTTGGGGCATGGTTTCCATACTCCAGATTACTGCGTGCCCAAGATGGCTGCTAGGGCACCAGATATCACATCCACATTCCAGGCAGCACAGCAGGAAGGAAAAAGTGGTGGGGGACGGAGGGGCAGGCAGACAAGTTGAGGACAAAACAGCATGTCCCATCTATCTCCCTCTTCAGGGGGGAGAAAACCAATTTCCACTTACTTTCCATTGGCCAGAACTTAGTCACGTGGCCACACCTAGCTGCAAGGGAAGCTGGGAAATGTAGCCGTTTAGCTGTGTGTGTTGATGCTCTGAGTAAGGTTTGGGTTTTGTTATGAAGGCGAAAGGGGAGAATGGGCTTTGGGTAGTAACTAGCAGTCTCTGATACACTGCATATTATAATTATTAGTTGTCCTTTCAGGTGAGCATTTATTAATGATAATAACAATAATAATAAAAATAAAGACCAGCATTTCGAGCCGACTGTGTCCTGGGCACCGTGCTCAGCAGTTTTTACACATTAGCTCTTTTCACGCTCCCGACGCCCCTTTGTAGTGGCTCCTGTTATTCTCTCCCCGTGAGGGCTGGGGTGTGGGCCCGTGGAGCTCGGGATGGACGGGTGATGTGACGAGGACACCCAGCTCTCAGGAGGCCAGAGCACGGCTTTGAGCTGGGCCCTGCTCTGGAGCCTGTTGGCCTGATGGGTCAGTAATCGATGTAGCCGTGTGGCCAGGGAACAGCCCTTGCTGAGTCCTGACGGGGGCCGCCCCCTACAGTTTATGGCCTCTTGAGAGCTACAGCGATGCTTCTGGGTTTGACCAGTGGTCATTCATTCCTTCGTACACTTTGCATGTCTTTGCTCTGAAGCAGAAACCTGCTTCTAGGAGATACGCTGAGTGCCAGAGCCTGGGGCTTCCCATCCGGAAGATGCTCCATAAACCTTGGGTCCTGTATCTGTCAGGCCAGGCCGGGCTGTGCTGCGTAACAAGCATCCCCAGAATCTCAGTGGCTAAAACAACAGAGTTCATTTCTGCTTGTACTCCATGTCCAGTGTGGGGGACCAGGGGGCCCTCTGCTCTTTGTGGTCACTCGGGGTCCCAGCCGAGGGCGGCTGCCCTGGCCCCACACGTCCCCGGTCCCTGCGGCAGTGGTGGAAGGCCTGGTGAACTGTGCACACATCGGCTGTTAGAGCTTCCGCCCGGAAGGGTGACGCCACCTCTGCTGCTTTTGCACTGACTGCAGAGGTCGCGTGGCCACGCTTACGTGCATGTCTCGGGTGGTGCTTCCCGTCGCCTGGGAGGAGACCAGACTCTCCTTGAGTCGGGAGGGGAAGGTGGGACACTTCCGGGAGGGACGCTGTCATCAGGGCGGCGTCCCTCCTGGAAAGCCCCCGAGTCCTCCTCCTGGTCGCCAGGCGCTGGGGGTGCAGCGTGAACAAGACCACGAGACCCCTGTCCGCCGGGCGGAGGGGGACACTTGTAACTAAGCAGGCGGGCTCGAGGGCCGGCCCTGGTCCTCTGCCCCCGGCCTGAGGCTTAAAGATGCTGTTGGTGCCGTTGTCGCAGCTCAACAACTCCGACTCCGGGCTCTTCACCGTGTTCACGGGGGTCAAGGACTTCAGCAGGATCCACCTGGTGGACAAGTGGAACGGACTCAGCAAGGTGAGGCGGGAGGCGCGGCCCCGCCGGGGGCCGGGCGGGATGAGGCCGCCTTCCTTCTCCCGAGACCCGCGGGGCCCCCGGGAGCGAGAGCGCCCGGAGTTGGGGTTCTGTCTGTGGTTAGGGCTCCACAGCTCTTGGTTCCAGATGGCTGGGTGGGGAATAGACGCTATTTATTTAGCTCCTACTGTATGCTAAGAACTGAGTTCGTTCTTTCCTTTGGTTCTTAATTTACAAAAAATGTTTTAAAAATATTACACTGATGATATAACGATTCATTGCATTAAAAGATATTACTGAGTGAAAAAAAATTACCCTAGAAATTACACAGGAAAACATTCACATTAAAAAAATAAAACAGAGACAGATGTAAAATGCACTGTATACCCCCACCCCGAGCCACAGAGGACACCCACAGTTATCAGCATTGGGTATGTGCTTCCCGTCTGTTTTTATCCATTTTCATGCCTGTTTGTACACACAGAAATACGGGAGTGTCTCTTTTTTTCCTTTGGACAGAATGAAATCATACCGTGTGCGTGGTTTTGCAACTGGCTTTGTTCACCTTAGCGGCCTTTTCTCAGTATGCATGAAAATGTGCAGTGTGTTGCTCACACCTCCCAGATGCTCGCCGCGGTGGTCCTGCGGAGCCCGAGTGCTGGGGACAGATCGCACCCCGGGCTGCCCGGAACGGCAGGGTTACCGTTTGCAGCCGGTAAAAACCATTCGTAGTGGCTGCTGTTAGGATTCTCTTTGGGTTGGTTCTTCAGTATGAAAATATACATGTGCACATAATTGAAAACGTTCCGCTGGTACAGGAGGGTAGGAAGTGAGGGTCTGTTTTCTTTCTGTCGGGGTCTCACTCCCCAGAGGCAACTCCTGTTTCGAGGTCTCGTGGTGGCCGCTGTTATGATTTTCAATATTTTCCTTACTGTGCCACCTCCTGACTTTGTCTGTTTTTAGGAAGCATCTGGTGGCTTCCTCTCTGAGAGGTGGGGTTGTCACTGCCCCACCTCCCACCTCCTCTGTTCCCTGCGCTCCTTGGAGATGTGGGTGACAGGCCCATTTTACAGGTGAAGCCACCGAGTCGCCGGCGGAGTTGCACATTCAAAGACCCGTAGTTGGGGAGCTGCCCTCTGTCTACACAGCCTGCTCTCCTCCTCCTGTCCACGGATAGTCCTGGGAATTGACGTCTACCCCCGGGCACACGGCCTGCGCAGTCGCAGCTCCGTCGGGGGTGAGCCGGAGAGCCTTTCCAGAGAGGCCTTGCTGTCCTGAGTGGCCGTGTCTGCGTCTTCCCTGCAGGTCGACTTCTGGCACTCGGATCAGTGCAACATGATTAACGGAACTTCGGGGCAGATGTGGGCGCCCTTCATGACGCCCGAGTCCTCGCTGGAGTTCTACAGCCCCGACGCCTGCCGGTAACTGCTCGGACGCGGGGCAGCTGGGCCTCCTGGGCCGCGGGATCGGCTTCGTGGATGCCCGCAGCCTCTTCAGGTGGCTTTTGGGTGCACCGGGAGAGCGTCTTGGCTCTGTGTCTCCACGGCCCACGGCGCCATCTTGAATTCTCTTAGGCTGCACCACGAGGAGCCGAAGTCCACGGCTCGCGCCTTTGCAGGGCCCAGGGAGGCTGCTGGCAGTTGTCGGGGCGTGGCGGTGGCCGTGGCCGTGGCGCGGGCAGGAAATGATCAGGGTCGCAGGGGGCGGGCAGATAAGGCACACCTGGCTTCCCTGTGGTGTCCGTCTGGCTGCCCCGGTGTCCATTTGGACGCGGACACATCTGGATGCTGCTCCTATGGCCCCTTCAGTCTCCAGAGTGGTGGCCTCGGGGTCTGCGTGGGGCTGTCCAGGGGCCCCGGCAGAGGGGTGAGGACGGACAGGACCCTAGAGCCCTTCTCTGGGCGCCCGTGGACACCTGACCACCTCAAGTGGGCGTTTTCTAAAAACAAGGACACTTTCTTACGTAACCAAATTGCCGTCATCAAAAGGAGGAAATTGAGCATTGAAATAGTGCTAGAAACGTCTAGGCCGGTTCTGTCCAATAAAAATGTAGTGCAGGTCCCACCCACAGTTTTAGATTTTCTGGTGGCCACGTTACAGTAACGAGAAACAGGTGGGAATCATTTTAAGGGTGGGTTTCATTTGACCCAGTACGTCCAAAATATAGTCATTTCAGCGTGGATGTGACGTAAAGTATCACTGAAGACACGTTTTACAATTTTCTGTATCAAGTCGTGGGAACCTGGAACGTACCTTCCACCGACAGCGAATCCCAGCTTGGCCCCGTTTCAAGGGCTCTCGAGCCGCGTGTGATGAGCGGCTCCGTGGACAGCAGGGTGTCACGGCTCTGATCCACAGGCCACCGTCAAATTAGAGGGCCTTTGAGACACACGGCGGGGTGAACGGAGAGAGGGTGAATGGGGTGTGGGGCGTGTCTGCTGCCCGAGGAGGGGACAGCCAAACCACGACCTGAGTGCGGAACTGAAGTCTGAGTTGTGAGGGTGAGGGAGCACATTCCAGGCCGGGGGGGCAGCAGATACAAAGGCCCGGGGGCAGGAGGGAGCACGGTTGAGGAACAGCACGGAGGCCCGTGGGTGCATAAAAAAGTAGGTGGGGCTAGACCCCACAGATGCTTGTGGGCCGTGGTGAGGACGTTGGGTCTTGTTATAGGTGACACTGGAAAGGATTGCAGTCTTAAGTGGGGACGTGATATATCTGATCTTGTTCTAAAGCCCCGTCTGCGTGTGGAGGGTAGACTGGCGTGTGGGGAGCAGTGCAGGGGAGAGAAGAGGCTCCACGTGGGCTGTTTTCAGCAGGACCAGGTCCCGGGTGTCACTGTCCACCCCATCTGTCCCCACAGGTCCATGAAGCTGATCTACAAGGAGTCGGGGGAGTTCGAGGGCATCCCCACCTATCGCTTTGTGGCCCCTGACACCTTATTTGCCAACGGCTCCGTCTACCCGCCCAACGAGGGCTTCTGCCCGTGCCGGGAGTCCGGAATCCTGAACGTCAGCACGTGCAGGTTCAGTACGTGTCACCCTTGGGACCGGGACGGGGACGGGAGGGTGCGATGGACGTGCCCAGGGGCTTATCTGCCCCCGTCTGCTTAACCTCTGGCCTCTGTACTCTTGATAATCCCATTAGGCCGCGATAGTGAGGACAGCAGGAAGATAATTTGAGAAAAACATATGCTGTGCGCGAGTTGCTGTCGTAATGAATTCCTCCTCACTTAGTGGCTCAGAACAACACACATGCATCGTCTTGACTGGTTCTGTAGTTCGAAAGTCCCACACAGGTCTCCGCAGCTGCCAGCAGGCTGCGTGCCTCTCTGGAGGCTTGAGAGGAGAATCCGTTTCTCTGCCTTTTCCGGCTTCCAGAGGCCACTAGGATTCCTTGGCTTGTGGCCCCCTTCCTCCATGCTCAGCGCCAGCATCATCGCGTCTCTGATCCGTCCCCCTCCTGTGCTCCCAGCTCTTGCTCAGACTGTCTTCCGCGTCCCTCTGCTAGCGTTAAGGACCCTGGAGACGATATGGGGCCCACCCGGGTAATCTGGGCCACGCTCCTTGTTTTAAGGTGATTAGCAGCCTTAATTGCCCTTTGCCGTGTAACCTGACGTGGTGGCAGGTTCTGGATTAGGACGCTGACGTCCTTGGGGAGGGCGTTACTCTGCCCCCCCCACCCCCGCGATATGTAGCCTGAGGGTGAGGCCTCGTGGGGGGCCCTTCCCCCACCCTGGGAGGAGAGCAGCTGGCAGTGGTCCCGCCGTGCTGTGCCGTAGAATCTTGTTCCGCGGTGGCGGTTCCAGGGCTGGGTGTGATCACTGGTGCTGGCACGGCGTCCTCTGGCACCGCCAGCTTTTCAGTTGTGTGCCAGCTCCCGAGACGCGCCCCCCTCAGCTGCTCAATTTGAACACTTGGCTGTCAGCGCGATTGCCTTCTCCTCACCCTCAGCCGGCTCCTCGGGAAGCCCCGTCGGCTCTGCCCCCAGATTAAGTCCTTCCTCCCCGTGACCGGCCGCCTCGTGGTCCAGGCCCCGTCACCTCGTACCGGCCGTCCAGGCCCCTCCGGCTGGCGTTGTTCCCGCCCTGCGTACGAGCTGTTCCCCAGACTGTCCCGTGTGGTCACCCCTGGCCTCGTGTGGCTGTTTAAACTGAAACTGGTTTGACTGAAATCAAATGGAAAAGGCAGCTCCTTCAGCACACTGGCCACGTTTAAACGCGCACCACCCGCCGTGCTTAGTGACGACCGTATGGGACGGGCGGCGCAGAAGGGGAGCATTTTCGTCATCGTAGAAAGTTCTGTTGGATGCTGTTCCAGAAAGCAGCCCAGGGGCCCTTTCAGAAGCGCAGACTGCCACCCAGCTCTCTGCTTCGAGGTCTGTATAGCGAGGCCCTGACTGGGGCCTCAGTGCTCACCGGGGTCTGGCCTCTGCCGGCCTATCCAGCATCATTTCTTCCTGTACTGCCTCCACTAACTATTCTTCAGCACTGCTGCCTTTTCCCTGCTTCTAGAATATATCAAGTTTAGTCCTACCTCAGGGCCTTTGCATCAGCTGTTCCTCCTGTTGGAGGGCTCTTTCCCCAGATACCATCTGCATCTTGGTGGGTCTTTCCCTCACCTCCTTTCCGCTTATTCAAATGCCACCCCCTCCAGGAGGTCTGCTCTGATTTCCTGTTCTAAAGTCCCGGTCCCCCCTCCCAGCTGCTCTCTGTTTCACCTTTGATTGCCTTCTTGGTGCTCATCGTCCTCTGAAATCACTGACTGTGTGTTTTTGTTTACTTGTTTGTCTGTCTCCTCCTCTAGACTGTAAACGCCATAGGCAGGGCTCTGTCCTCAGCTTCTAGAATGTGCCTGGTATGTAGTGGGGACTCACACAGTGTCTGAACATATGGATGTGTGGGCGTATCCTGCACTTAGGAAATTGAGGCTGAAGGCTGGGACGTGACCAGGACACGAAGCCACTCCTCGTCTGACTGGGTCTTGGCTTTTGGGGGCCTGTTTGGCTGAAGCCACATTTCTAGCTGGAGATGGGGGTTCGGGGAGGGGAGTCTGCGCAGGGTGAGAGGAAGGTCTGTCAGCAGGTCTCCCCAAGTTCAGGCAGGACGGGGGGCTCCGTGGTCAACGGGTTAGGAGCTGGGGTCTGGACACGCCCGCTCTGCCATGGCCTCATCCGGCCTGCCCGGCCTTGTCCTCTGTTTAATCCTGTCCTCGCTGGCATCTATGGGGATTTCTGCTTGTAGGGGGTGACGGTGCAGAGACCTGTAGGCCGTGTGCTGCAGTTGCTGTGGCGAGTGGCAGGTGCTCCAGCAACCCGATAGGCCCCACAGGGCTCTTCTTGGTTTGTGTAACGGGAAATTCCAGAGCACGTCCTGTATCAGGCGTGGCTCCAGAGCCCAGCGGGTGTCTGAAGCTGCCTTTCACCATGTGCCAGCTCGGTTTTCCTCCTTCGCTGCCAGGCAGGCTCTCCCCTCGACGCTTCAGGCTCACCTCCTCCCGCTCTGCATCCTGCAGAAGGGGGCACCTGGGTCCTCTTCACTCTAGCAGAAGTCTCAGGGTTCGCTCTGATTAGTCTGCCTTGGGTCACATGGCCAGCTCTGAACCAATCACTGTGGCCCAGGGTGGGCTGTGCTGATTGGCCAGGCTGTGTCACATGCTCAGCGCCTGGCTCCACATTGCCAGTGGCTGAGAGTAGGAGAGGGGCTTCATCGTGTTGTGGGTTCCAGAAGAAAGAGGGGGTACCGGGCAGGCAGAAACTACATGTCCATCCACTACAGAGGGCTGGGGATGGGGTTTGCACTGCCTCATCTTAGCATGTCTGCCAAAGAACTTCAAAAGTGTGAGGGAATTTAAAAATATTTATGTAAATAAAGTTTTTCTTTTATGTTGAAATAAACATATATACAGAGAGGTGCCCGAATAACCTGTGCAGTTTGGAATTCCACAAAGTGAACACACCCATGAAACCAGCACCCTGATCAAGAAACAGAACAGGAATGGCCCCAGATGCCTCATGGGCCCCTCCCTGTCATTGGCCTGACTTCTAGCACCCCAGCTTTCCTTGTCTTTGGTCTTTATGTGAACAGAATCATAAAGCAGAGACTCCTTTGTTCTTTTTTTCTGGCTTCTTTCGCCCACTGTTACATTGGTGAGGTCCATTCCTGTTGTTGTGGGTGTTGTGGGCACCTTCTTCCTTGCTGTATAGTATTCCGTCATGCGGACACACTTCAGTTTCCTTACGCCTTCTACCGTTCATGGGTATCCGGGTTTCTGTTCATTGACCATTACCCTAGTGTTGCCAGGAACATTCTCCTACATGTCTTTTGGTGTGCCTGTGTCTACCTTTCTGTGAAATTTTATCTGAAGATGAGAAATACCCACACATTTCTTTCTAGGCCTTGAAAATTGCTTGGACCCAGTGACCTCTCTCTCCTCAAACCTCTGTGCTGTGTAAGGCCCTCAGACTTGCTCAGTAGAGCCCCTTAATTGTAATACGTGGTGATCTTGGGCAATTACTTCTGATTAGATGTGCCATAAAACTATAAATTAATTACCACTTATTACCTGGGTGGGTCTCTCTCAGTCTGTTTGGAAATAAAATAGGAAGAAACGCATGCACATGCGCATGCTATTAAAAAGCCAGACGGGGGGCCAGCCCGGTGGTGTAGTGGTTAGGTTCATGCACACTCTGCTTTGGCGGCACAGGGTTCGCAGGTTCGGATCCTGGGCACAGACCTATGCACCGCTCATCAAGCCACGCTGTGGTGGTGTCCCATATATTAAAAAAATAGAGGAAGATGGGCATAGATGTTAGCTCAGGGCCAATCTTCTTCACCAAAAAAACAAACCAAAAAAAAAATCCAGACAGGCTTAACATCCAAAGCAGGGGTGGGTGATGGCACATTGGTCCAGCCCACTTCAGTCTCCCCCGGCCTTGGAGGCCTGACGGGGCTTGTCTGAGATTCTACACCTTCAAGGGCCTGCCTCGGTGACTGCCTCCCTTACTGAGGGCCTCAGAGTTCTGCCGCCTGTAAATATGGGCCCTTGTGTAGACCCTGTTGGTCTCCTTTCACGGGGGAGATGGGTGGATGGCAAACAGGGTTTTCCAGATTGTGGGACATTATCCCTGGGGGTCTCAAGATGAAACCTTCAAAGGTCGAAGGAGGCAGCTTTACATAACCTTGACTTACGCAGTGAGAGAGGGCTTCTGGTTTCCATTCTCTTCCCGTCCTTCCGGAACCTCCAGGAGAAGGTCTCTGTCAGTGCTGAGAGGGATTACACGCCCTTCTGACACTCACGTGTCTCTCTCTCTAACAGAGGAAGAGCAGGACGGGGGTCGAAGCCTGGTGCAGGTATTTAGTTAGAATGTACGACATTCATCGGTTTCCATTGTGTTTATTTATATTTACTTTCTAATTGTGGCAAGTGTTTGCCAGTTATGACTCAGATATAAAGCTCCCCTTTAAAATAGAGCTATTTAAGTAAAGCCAGGGCAGTTGGTTCAGAGAAGCATGTTGTATCCAGATACGGCCAATGGAGGAAGGACCAGGATGGATGAATGAATGTTGAGAAGCATTAAGGCCGTGAATGGAAAAGGCCTGGGAAAAATGAAGTCAGGCCTCAGTAAAATCCCAGCTTTTGTTTCAGACCAATGCTTGGATTTGCTAAGCAAGCGGAAAGAGTCCAGACATTTGAGGTTGCCAGATGCACATGAACGTGAATGCTGGTCACCAGGCTAGCTGTGGACGGGCTGGAAGTTTTAGGGAAGGAGACTTGTGAGTTTTGTTTGTTTTTTCTTTCTCTTTTTTGTGTTAAGGTGAAGTTCACATAACATAATTGTTTTTTTTTTTTGGTGAGGAAGATTGGCCCTGAGCTAACATCCGTGCCCATCTTGCTCTACTTTATATGGGACGCCGCCACAGCATGGCTTGAGAAACGGTGCATAGGTCCACGCCCAGGATCCAAACCCGTGAACCCCAGGCCACTGAAGTGGAACGCGTGAGCTTAACCACTACGCCACCAGGCCGGCCCCTAAAATTAACCGTTTTTAAGTGTATAATTCAGTGGCATTCAGTGCATTCAAAACGTTGTGCAGCTATCACCACTATCTAGTTCCAGAACATTCTCATCATCCCACAAGGAGGCCCGGTGCCCATTAGCAGTCGCTCCCATCTCCCCTCCCCCAGGCCCTGGCCACCACCGTCTTCGTTCTGTCTCTGTGATTTGCCTGTTGTGGATCCTCATGGGTTGTGAGAGAGGCTCATTCCTGCCCTCGTGAACTCGTTGTCCGTCAGGCCCGCTGTCCGTTGTCCTGAGCACGAGAGGATGCGCTGGCGTTGGCCTTGCTTGGCTGGTTGATGGAGGGGTTCAGCCTCGTCTGTCTAGGTGTGAATTTCTCCTTCAGAGGGGCCCGGGTCAGTCCCTGTTCACCTGAGGTGGCGTCCACCCGCAGACCGGCTGCCAGGACACAAGGAGCAGAGCAGGTGTGTCTTCTCCCTCCGTGGACGCAGGGAGACCTGGCCGCAGGTGTGCACACCTGAGCCTCTCTGATCATTGGTGTGTCGCCTGCAGAGGACAGTCTGGGCTGCTTGGCTTGGCGATGAAGATCCCGACCCCCCCGCCCCCAAAGTTCAGTCTGGCCTTGACTTGCCCTTCTGTCCTCACCTCCCGTGCCTCCCCTCCACGCACCATATGCACCGTGCATTTTCCCACCTCCCTGCGTTCGTTTCTGCCGGTCCTTCCGCCTGGAATGCCGTTCCCTAGATTTCTCTGCCTCGCATCTTTTAGCCTTCTTCTTTTCCTTTGTTTGATCTCTGCCGCCAGAATCAGCACCTCCTCCTTTCCCGTTCCTGTGGCACAGAGCTTGCCCCCTGCTGGGTTCCAGCGCCCAGTGCCTCTTGGGCACTTGGTAGACATTTACAGCCTGGATGAAGGGACTGTCTCTGTCTAGTTATTGTTGTTTGCATCTTGTCATTGTCACGGGGGTGCTCTGCAGCAGTGGCTGTGTTTCATCGTCTGTGCGTCCCCATGCCTGGCTCGGGGCCTGGCACGAGGCAGGCTCTCAATGTGCCAACTCAATATCCCTGTCTGACGCTCCCCTCTCTGCCTTCTAGGTGCGCCCTTGTTTCTCTCCCATCCTCACTTCTACAACGCCGACCCGGTCCTGGTAGAGGCGGTGCTTGGCCTCCAGCCTAACCAAGAGGAGCATTCCTTGTTCCTGGACATTCACCCGGTGAGCCCTTGCCTGTCGACCTGCAGGTGGGCGGGGGGTGGGCTGGGGGGGTGTGTTCTGGTTGGTGCACACTTGGCCCTCTCCTCTCCCCCCAGGCACTGAGCTCTTCCAGGGAGGGGGTGATGGGAAGCCTGGCTTTCTTTGGCATTGATATCTTCTAGAATATCAAGCCATCAAAGATCCCTACTTTGCCCTGACTCCATAGTTCAAGAACTTTATTATCTCTTTATAAGGGAATTGTCTATAAATGGACCATAAGACAGTAAATTAATTAGGAGTTATCAGCCTGCAAATTAGCCAGAGGCAGCCTCCTGGCTGTGCCAAGACACCATAAAGATCTTTAGGTACTGAGGAGAGCCTGGGACATCATGCAGATAAGGCAGGTTTTGGGGAATTTGTCCTGTGTGAAGTTCTGTCTGCGAGCAGGGACCGGTGTGTCACTGACGGTGGTCCCGTAAGATTAGTGCCATAGAGCTAGGTGTGTTGGAGGCTGTACCATCTAGGTGTGTGTGAGTCCACTCGATGATGTTCATGCGACGATGAAATCATCTGATGACGCATTTCTCAGAACCTGTGCCGTCGTTAGGTGACGCGTGACTGTATCTCAGTAAATGTGGGCTTGATAAATGATCGGGAAGTGAGTAAGGGAGAAAGCTGAATTCACACACAGGCCTTCCGATGCCCACTACATGACGTCCTGTATTAATATATAGTTAATATTGCCAATTGGATAGTAATTAATTAATAATAATATATTACACGTTCTATATTAAATTCATTCTTGATTAAGTTAGAAATGTTAAGGCCTTTCCCTGTTGTCTTAAAATTTTAACCAGTTTTTGAAAGGTTTCTATTACAAAGTTAATAAGGGGCTGTGCACCTTCTCTCTTTTAGTTCATTTGTGTCCCTGCCTCTTTCTCCCTGCCGGCTTCTGGGGAATTCCAGGGAGAACACGTTCTCTTCCCTGTTCTCAGGGGTGACTCTCATGTTAGCGTGTGGATCCCCCCGCCCCCCACTGAGAAACAGGCGGTGAGGTTGGGGGCCGGGGAGACGCGCACGGCTGTCCTGCAGCGGCCCCTCAGCTGGCTTCTCCTGTGTCTCTTGTTCCGGGTCAGCCCGAGGCAGAGGGGGACAGAAGCGGCCCTTCCTTTCGTGGTTGTCGATTGGGGCACCTCGGGGAGGATGGCCGTGGGTCTGTTTGCTGCCGGTCAGGCCTTAGCCCTGGAGACAGAATGTCCGTTGGAAGCTGCTGCTGTGGTGGCCACTTTTCTGCCCCTGAAACGGGGGGCAGGTGTGGTGACAGAGGGGCTCCGGGGGCCGAGTTTCTGTTCTCCGAGGTGCAGGGCACAGGCGGGCCTCTGCCCCCTAAGAGGTGGCCCAACCGCAGCTGGAGGAACAGGCCAAGGACGGAAGGAGACAAATTTCCTGGGGGAGGAGGTGGCCCGAGTGGAGCCCCAGAGGTAGAGTCTGTTCTAGGGGGCAGAAGAGGGTGCAGATTGCGTTGGGGTCCCCACGGCCACCCCCGGGGTCCGTGCATCGCTAGGACGACTCGCACACGGTGGTGCTCACGGCTGTGACTTATCACAGCGAAAGGACATGACGCACAAGCAGCGAGGGGGAGGGCGCGTGGGTGGAGACCAGGCTCGGGCTTCCAGAGCCCTCCCAGGGGAGCCACACAGGACACACTCAATCCCCCAGCTCCCGTGAAGTGTCGTCCACCAGGGACGCCCAGCAGAGACCCAGCGCCCAGCCTGTCTATTGGGGTCACGTGGGCACCTCTGCCTGGCCTGGCCCCAGACCCCAGACTCCCCGAGGGAAGTAGGTCGTCAGCGTGAACCGCGTTGTCTGTACAGATGGTCCAGGTGCAGAGAGCCCCTCACCAGTCAAGGGGTGGGGGACCCTCCTGCAGGCCAGGCTCCCGCCCGTCAGCGGGCCTCTCTAAGGAGGGCGGCCCGGACCAGACGCGTGAGCTCTCCTCCGCACACGGCGATCTCAGTCCCCTCTGCTGGGTCCTCGAGTTCACACTCTCCCCGCCCAGGGGCGCGGCCTTTGACCTGTTCCCCTGCGCCCCCCGGGCCTGAAGGGCCTGTGAGTGTGGGCTCCACTGGGCGATAACACCCCTTCCCAGTGGGGCACAGGATGGTAACCCCAGCGAGGTGGCCCCGAGAGTGGCTGGCCCGCGTCCCTTAGTTGCCCTGCGGACACTGTGAGACAGGTAGAATTGTCTCCGTTTCACGGAGGAGGAAACGCATTTCGGCTAAGGAGCAGCCCTCGAGGTCCCCTGACCTCAAACCCGGTTCCTTTCCACGAAAACTTCCTGACTTCATTCAGAACCCCCGTCCTGATTTTGGTCCTGTATGTGTGTCGCTTCTCCTGTTATTTATTATTTTAAAAAACAGTCTCATTAAAACAACAAACAAGCAGATTTCTGCACGAAAGAAGCTTCTATCACTACCTCAAATCGGAAATTACAAAATTCCCCCCAAAAAGAAGGCAATCATAAAGATAAATACGAGGAGAAAACATGGTTCGTCTCTGTGTGAAATGCCGTTGCTGCCCGTGTGTGTGCCGGCCGAGGCCAGCTCCGTTGAGGCGGATTCGGGGAGTGTGGGTTGGCGAGATTGAAGACCAGGCCCGCTCCCCGAGCGAGCCTGCCTTTGAGCCCATCAGGAAAAGTGTGGAGGGACCGAGAACAGAGAGACTGTCCCAACATGCAGATCTGTTTTATGGAATTTGGAGGCACGAGGGAGGGGCGATGACTAACAATGTCTTTCTGCACTTGGGGAAGCGTTGTCGCAAGAGGACGGACAGAAAAGGATGAGGTTTTTCCGTCTGGAGAGGCCTGCTCTCTGGAGGGGACCCCGGGGGGCGAGGACGGCGGGTGTTTACCCGGAGGCCGGGAGAGTGGGACCAGGTAGGGTGTCTGAGGGTGTGGCCGGGCCTCACTGTGCTTGTCGCCGCAGGTCACGGGGATCCCCATGAACTGCTCGGTGAAGCTGCAACTCAGCCTGTACATGAAGGCCATCAGCGGCATCGGGTGAGTGGGGTCCGGGGGGGGCCGCCCCACTCCTGTAGAGATTGAGACTCCAGCGGCCCCCTCGGGAACCCGCACGGTGAGGGGGGAGGGAGGTGTCCTGCTGGACGGGGGGTCTAGTCCCTGCCCATCGTCCCCCCGAGGGGAGTCTTAGCTCTGGGACGAGGCCCCACCCACATCCTGACACCCCTGCCCCAGAATCCCCTGTTTCTCTCTTAACATGTGTCCCCCCGATGAGCCAGAATCTTCCATCCAAGCTGTTTCCCACTCAACAGAGTAGCAAAAATTAAATCCTGGCAAAACCAAGTGTTGGAAAATGGAAACTTAGCAAACAGCTTCTTACGTGCGATGCTTTGCTTTACGGGAGGAATTTTTTAAGCACTGATTTTGTTCGTTTGATTTTTTGAATAACGGCTTTATCAAGATTTAATTCACATTCTATAAAACTCACCCTTTTAAAATGTACACTTCAGTGATCTGTAGTGTATTCACAGTGTCGTGCGGCCATCGCCACAATCAGAGCATTTCTGTCAACCCCAAAAGGAGACCCTGTACCTGGTAGCAGTCATTCCCCGTTTCCCTCAGCCCCAGGTGTCTCCTAATCTACTCTGTGTCTCTGTGGATTTGCCTGTTCTGGACATTTCATGGAGATGGACTCCTACAACATGTGGCCTTTTGTGTTGGCGTCTTTCACTCAGCATAATGCTTTCAGGGTTCATCCACCTTGTAGCATGGATTAATACTTCGTTCCTTTTTATGGCTGAATAATGTTCCATTGTGTTGGTAGACCATGTCTTGTTTATCTTTTCATCAGTTGATGGACATTTGGGTTGTTTCCACTTTTTGGCCGTTATGAAGAATGCTGCTATGAACATTCCTGTGCAAATTAAATCCTGGCAAAACCAAGTGTTTGAAAATGGAAACTTAGCAAACAGCTTCTTATGTGCGATGCTTCGCTTTATGGGAGGAATTTTTTAAGCGCTGATTTTTAAAGAATTTTTAAGGAATTTTTAAGAATTTTTTAAGGAATTTTTAAGCACTGTTAAGTTTCCGCGTGCAGACTCTCATTCTCTTGCATATGTTCCTAGGAGTGGAATTGCTGGGTCACATGGGAACTCTGTGTTTAACTGTTTAAGGAACCACCAGCCTGTTTCCCACAGCAGCTGGTTCCCACCAGCAGTGGAGGAGGGTTCCAGCCTCTGCAAGTCCTCGGACTCCTCTTACAACATTGTGCTTTGATGGGGCTGGTGAGGGAGTGCACGGATTGCTCCTTATGTCGGGGCCTGTGTTTCTTAGCATATTTGAAGTAGTTTCATTAAAAAAGAAATTCCCCTGGAAGGATTCCCGGGATGCGGGAATGTGAGCATCTATTCAGCTTCACAAACGCCTCTCGGCTGGAGAGAGTAACAGTCTAGAGCGCAGGGCATCACCAGGCGCTCATCTCCTCCCTCGTACCCAAGCTTTCAACTGCACGTTTCGAGGCTGCTCAGAGGGGTGGTGCTTGAAGGATTTGTGGGGGGTGACGCGGCGCCACGCGTGCACTAAGCTTCCGCTGCCGGGCTCGAACTCTGGGGCCCACGTCCCTTGGCATCTGGTCGGCTAACTCGGCTGCACCAGGACGGCAGGTGACATAGATAGAGCAGCGGGGGCAGGCTGGGTGGGGAGGGGGCTGAGAGCCAGCCCCTACCCAGCGGCAGGGGAACGTGGACCCAGTGTGGCCACATCCTACGCGTTTTCAAATGCATTTTTCAAAATCTGGATTTTAGCAGAAGCTCTCTCAGTTTTCACCTGTTGGGAGTAAATTCAAATACTGGACAAAAGCTGCTCGAGCCAGCAGGGTGCCTGGGAGGCTGCATTCTGCCTGTTGGTGGCCTCAGGCCACTACCGAGACCTCTCTGGGCCCTGTTCTGAACGGGGGCTGCACAGCTGGCTGGTCTCCAGGGAGCTGGTCCAGCGTCAGCACTCGGCTCCATCCCCCAGGGCGAGGACCCGTGTGGGAAAGGCCCAGAGACGCAGGCCTCCCCCGCAGCAGAGCTGTTTAGACTTGTGGGAGGAACTTTTGTGCTGTTTGCTCATGAGATACAGGCAGCAGAGCTGCGTGCTATTTGTGTTTAATTTACATCAGTTCTTACAAACTCAGATAAAAAGGGCCAAAGAGAATGGGACCTTCTGTTGCATTTCCAGAGTGTCCCCGGGTCTCTCTCTTCTGCGGGGGACGCCGTGTAAATTCTCTTCACTGCACAACCCTCTGCTTAATGGGTGGCCCGGGAGATTTTTGAGACTTGTGATGGAGGATTTTAGCCTTTTGTGCCGACTCTGGTACCCGCCCCCCGAGTGAGTTCCATCTCCCCCCTGTGAGGCTGTGCCTTCTTTAGGCAGACCACGAATGGTGATGCTACAGAATATTTGTTTGTCCATTTGGTGGCTGCTATTTAACCCCAAAACGACAATAATACACACCAGGCACTTTTTATGCTCGGTATTCTAAGCACTTACTCCTCTTCTTGCATTCAGCCCTCGCTGGAGCCCTGTGAGGGGTTCTGTCAGGAGGCACAGAGAGGGTGCGGAGCATGCTCGAGGTCACATAGCTAGCTAGTAAGTGGCTGTGTCGGGGGGCCCCAAGACCTCTCTCAGATTTGCTGATTCTCTGAACAGGCTCACAGGACCGGCATGGAGCCGTACTCATGGCTGTGATTTATTACAGTGAAAGGATTCAAAACAAAGTCAGCAAAGGGAATGGCACATGGGGTGAAGTCTGGGGGAACCAGGCTCAGGCTTCCAGAACCTTCCCCCAGGGGAGTCACACAGGATATGCTCCAGGAAGGAGTTGTGAAAACACGTGTGAAGTGTCGTCTACCAGGGAAGCCCAGTAGAGACTCAGCGCCCAGTGTGTTTATCGGGGTCACGTGGGCCCCCTCTGCCTCGCACACACCCAAGTTCCAGACTCCCCGAAGGAGAGCAGGTGGTCAGCATGAACCGTGTTGTTGGTTAGCTGGGTGCATCCCCATCCTGAATAAAATCGGGGCTCTGTTTCTAAGGGGAATGAGTGGCTGTCAGCTCGCCGGCAGCCCCCGCCCCATAGGAGATGTGAGTTTTTAATTAGAAGAGACGTTGCCCGATTGTCAGGCTGCTCCCTGCAGGAAACGCCCACTCCTCGAGCCCACAGCAACCCAGTCATTGCAGAATCCAGTCCCTCCTGCCCCTGTAGTCTGCGACCCCACGTCCAGAGCCGTCGGACCCGACACGCCCTGACAGAACCTCTCGCTTATTTCCAGACAAACCGGGAAGATCGCGCCGGTGGTCATGCCGCTGCTGTGGTTTGGAGAGGTAAGGCCGCCTCGCTCTGCCTGCGCCAGGGCGGGGGCGGGGGCGTGGTGTCCGGGGCCCAGCGAGGGGCCAGCGTGGGCATTTGACGAGGGAGGCCGTTGGGGGAGGGGGGAGGGCAGGACTGTGACGTAGAACAGTCCGCTAGAAGCTTCACACTCTGCAAGCCTGGATGTCAGTTACCCCACTGAGTTGAAGGGCCCACCGGAGACGGGGAAGATGGAACTTGCACGAAACTGTAAAACCCTGGCCCAGGGTGTAAAGCAGTTCTGTTAGTGTGCTGACCGCTTCTCCTGGGACGAAGGGAAGCTGGTTGTCAGGGTGTCAGCTCTTCACTTGAACTTTCTTTTCTCCCAGCTTTTCAGGGTTCCTTCTGGCCTAGCTCCTTTTAAATCAGGTGCGCTCACGACCAGGACAGCCTCCCAAGGGCGCAGTCTGACGTGGGCTGGTGGGAGCTCTGCCCCACGCCGTCGCTCAGGGACATCCAGGCTCCTTGCATCTCTTGGTCCTGCCCTCCCTGAGATCCTCAGAATCCATCTCTGTTTAGTGAATTGGGAAAGAGATGGGGAGAATCCCATGGGAGGTTTTTATGGGCCAGGCACGGAAGGTGTAGCATCGCTGTGCCCACGTCCCATTGGTCAGAATGTGATCACATGGGCCTGCCCAGCTGCAAGGGCGTCTGGGAAATGTAGTCTCGTTGTGTGGCCCTGGAGGAAATAGACGCATCCTGAGGCTCCATCACGTGCTTTGGCCAGAGGGCTTGGGATGGGGAAGGGGTGGGGGGGCAGAGGGATGTGGCGTGGGGTGGCATCTGCGCCCTGGGCCCCAGGCGTGTGGCCGCAGCCGTTTGTTTGTTCTCCCTCCCCAGAGCGGGGAGATGGAGGGTGCCACCCTCCGGTCCTTCTACAACCAGCTGGTGTTGATGCCCACGGTGCTGCACTACGCCCAGTATGTCCTCCTCGCCCTGGGCTGCATCCTGCTGCTCGTCCCCATCGTCCTCCAGATCCGGAGCCAAGTAGGTGGTGGCCGGAGCATGGCCCGGGCTGAGCAGTCCATTGCTTGACTGCTGGGGGAGCGGGGGCTCGGATCTGACCCCCAGCCTTCCCTTCCTGCCGCCCGCGGACGCCCTCCACCTGGAGCCCACCTGGGGCAGCGGGCCGTGTCTGCCTGGGGCCGGGGAGCTGTGCTGCGTCCCTGCATCGCTCACGTCCTGCGTTGCCACTTCTCTGCCTGTTCTGGGAGGCCTGGGGACCCTCCCTCGGAGGGGCTGCGGGTGCGTTTTGGGTAATGAGAACTGGTAATTGAATGGTTTTTTCATCAAGTCAGCATCTGCTGGGGGCCAGGCTCTGTCAGCGCGGGGCACGCAGCAGTGAGCGAGGCAGACGCAGACCCTGCTCGGGGGGAGCGAGGAGGGCTGGCGTTCTAGTTGGGAGCAGAAGAAAACCAAGTAAATTAACAGAAAAGATAATTTCCCTGTGGTAAAGATGATAGGAAACTTGAAGGGCTAGGGCAGTGCTGTCCAACAGAAGTACAACGTGGGCCACGCGTGTGATTTTAAGTTTTCTAATAGCCACGCTAAGTAAAAAATTAATTTTAATCGTGTATTTTATTTAACCTGAATGGATCCCAGATATGGCCGTTTCAACATGGAATCAGTATAAAAAATATAAATCCATTATTTTTTTCGTGTTGTCTTTGAAATCTGGTGTGTATGCTACGCTCACAGCAGGTCTTGATTCAGACTCACCCCATTTCAAAGGCTCTACAGCCACTTTGTGGCTACCGGACTGGACAGCACAGCATCCGAGGGGGTTGGGGACAAGGATAGAGAGAGGGTCAGGAAAGGCTTCTTTGAAGAGGCAGAATTTAAGCTTAGATGTGAATGCTAAGGAGGCACTTAGCACAGTCACGGGAAGAGTGCTCCGGGTGGAGGAATGGCCAGTGCAAAGGCCCTGAGGCAGGGATGGACGAGGCGTGTTGGGATCCCGCAGGGCCAGGGTGGCAGGAGTGAGCACGGGGGGAGAGGGGTAGGATGGAGTATCTGAGAGGCAGGGGCAGGTCATGCCCGGCTCTGTAACACAGGGTGAGCAGCTTGAAACTGACTCTGGGGGTGACAGGAAGCTGTTGGATGCTTTTAAGGAGAGAAGTGACTGGGTAACCTAATGTGTGGCGACCAGGTCTTCGGTGGGGAGAGGGGGAGACGGGACCAGTGAGGAGACCCAGGTGAGTGAGGCTGGTGGCTCAGACCAGGAGGGGAGCAGGTATTCAGGAAGGGAGCCTAGATGGAGAAGAGCTCTGAAGAGCCAGGCCTGGGACATCTGACCTCTAGAGGCAGGAAAAAGAGGGGCGACACCAAGCCCTCCTTGCTTTGGTGTCATTCATTCATTCATTCATGCATTCACTGACACGCCCTCACAACTTATTTTTTGCGAGGCACTGTGCAGTGTGGGGGATACAGAAATGACTAGAACATGAGGTCTGGAGAGCAGGGGGCAGGACAGACTGGAAGCAAGTGACTGCGGTCACGCGGTGACAAGGCCTGTGAGGGCGGGGCTCCAGGGGCAGTGGGGATGGGGGAGCAGCCACGTGGTGGGGAGGACCCCGCTCAGTGGTGGGGAATCTCGAAAGGCTGTTTATGAACCCAAAAGCCACCCTCTGGCCCCCACCTGGGTTGTCCCGGGGCCAGAGGCTGAGCCTTGGGGGGGCTCCCAGCTCCCCTACTGCCCTTCGGGCCGTCTGCCGTGCCTGCCTTCTGCTCTAGCTTTGGCAAACAACCCTCTCTCTCTCCCCTTCCTCACGGGCAGCTTGCTCGCTGCTTGCTTGCTGGGGGACGATAAACCTGCCCAGGTCCTTCACCCAATTCCCTCCCGAGTGCCCCATCCTTTGGGGAAAAGGTTTGCACTCCTGCGAGGGCGCCAGGGCCTGCCACCTCTCCTCGCGTCGTTGCCTCTGGCGTTTGAGCCCCTGAACTTGGGTGTAACCAGCCTGCGGGCTGCCCCGGTCCTGTCACTGCCCCAGCCAGAGCCAGGCTGAGCGGGGCTGTCACTCCAGTGAGCAGAAGGGAATTCCTGACAGTTTGGGGACTGCATTTTGCTGGAGGGCGGAAGGGACCAGAAGCTCCCCGCCCGTGGATACCCCCCCGGGGTGGAGCATCACCGGAGGTTCCACTGGGGAAGACACACTCGGCCGCATGTGGGGGCCAGGGACAGCTGGTGAGGGGTGGGGCAGAGGGGGAGGCCAAGACAGCCCTGCTTTTCTCTCTCCTGGCGGGGGGGTGGGGGGGGAGTGAGGACACGAAACCTGAGGGCGGCGCTCCTCTCCCCCCACATCTGTGCCGGCCCCAAACCCAGTGACACCACCATCGTGTCTGCTGATGGTGGTCAGGCTCCCTCCCCGCGGGGCTCCTCGGAGGCCAAATAATTGAAATTTATCCCATTATGTATTTTTTGGCTTAGCAGAGGTTAGGCCTTACATGTTTGTATGAATTTGTCCTGATTTAAAAAAAAGAAGTATTGCATGGGGGTGAACTCCATGTATTTTAATTTCTCTTCAGAGAAATTTTTCTTCTCCAGTCATTCTTTTTAGAAAAAATCAAGTCCTTTAAAAGAAAAATCTATTTCTGGTTGATTTAAAACGACACGCGGGGCCGGCCCGGTGGCGCAAGCGGTTAAGTGCTCGCGCTCCCCTGTGGCGGCCCAGGGTTTGCGGGTTCGGATCCCGGGCGCGCACCAACGCACCGCTTGGCAAACCATGCTGTGACGGCGTCCCATATAAAGTGGAGGAAGATGGGCACGGATGTTAACCCAGGGCCAGTCTTCCTCAACAAAAAGAGGAGGATTGGCAGATGTTAGCTCAGGGCCGATCTTCCTCACGAACAAAAATTATAAATAAATAAATAAATAAAACGACACGTGCTTCCCGGGCCAGCCCAGTGGGGGAGCAGGAGACTCTTGAGGTGCCAGCTGCTCAGCCTGCTGATCCCTGGCCCATCCGCCCTGCCCGCCACGGCCCCCCGCCCCCGATTCCTCTCCACCGCCTGTTTTCCGTGGACAAACCCTTCTCAGCTTGGCTTCTCCGTCCGGCCGAGCGTGTTTCCCAAAGGCCCTTGTACTTCTGTCTCTGGTGAAGGGCGACGTTACTCCCCAAATCTCAGCCAACGCCAGTCATCAACCGTGTTGGCTCCAAAATTCTCCTCTTTGCTTTCTGAAAATCGAAGAACCACATGAAACCTTTGGTGTTTGGCTGCAACGAAACTATAAATTAGCTTGGTTATCTTCTAGGAGAAATGCTATTTATTTTGGAGTGCTAGTAAAAAGGGCTCGAAGGATAAGGAGGCCGTCCAGGCCTATTCTGAAACCCTGATGACATCAGCCCCCAAGGGCGCTGTGCTCCATGAAGCAAGACTGTAGGTGGGTACCAGGTAACGCCCCACACCCCGCCTCCCTGTCTCCTCTGCCGTAGCAAGTAGAACTCTGGCGGCTTGAAACTTTGGATCTTACACATTTCTTCAGCCTAAACTTCCCCTGGAGTGTCCACAGACTGAAAACACATATTTGTACATTTTGCTTTTGGAGAAACAGCCCTTCTCATGCTCTGAGTGAATGGCTTTGATCCCAGGCGTCTTAGGAGATGGAGGGCGACTAGTGATCTGTGGGCTGGTATCTTATTTGCAAGGCTGTATTAGAAAGGCGGGGTCGAGGTTTAGTCCAGCTGCTTCTCGAACCTCTGGTGCAATAGCCTCCTCTGGGCAAGTCTGCTAAAAATGCAGATCCCTGGACATTCTGCTGGACCTCCTGGAGTAGAATCATGGATGGGGCCCCGGGAATCTGTATTCTAATGGGCCCTAAGGGGATTCTGGTGTAGATTGGTCTAAATAAATCTGGGATGACTGATCGAGAAAAAAGAATTTAGGCATTAATTGAGCACCAACTGTATATCCAGGACTCTGCGTGGGGGTAAGGTTGCCAGATTGAGCAAAAACAAACGAAAAAACCAAGAAACAACAACAAAAGGATGCCCAGTTAAATTTGAATTTCAGATAAATAATGAACGATTTTTAGCCTAAATGTGTCCCGTGCAATTATGGGGACATGCTTATACTGAAAACCTATTGTTGTTTACCTGAAATTCAAATTTAACTGCACGTCCTGGTTTTATCTGGCATCGCACCTGCGGGAGTAGGCTAGTGCCTTTGGGGGTCCGTGTTCTCCTCCGTCATGTTCCCGCAGGTTTGAGGTCCTAGGAGAGCCGAGTCCCGCCGGCTGGGGACGAGACAGGCAGCGCTCCAGGCCTCGGGATTTGGGGTTGGGCCGGGCTGAGTCGCTCTGTGGTTATGCCTCTGATAGTAGCTGTTATTTTGGTTTCTGAAAAATGTGCCGCCCTCACGAGCTTCTGGGGCTGGGCCCGCTTGGGTTTCAATAGCTTTCTCAGGAGCCACAGAGCGAGGAGGCAATGACCCTGCCTTCTGGGGCCAGGCCGCTGCCTCCAGTTCGCTTTGATCGCGGGCTGGAGGGGGAAATAAAAGAGAAAATGCAAAGTGGTGGGCGCCGTGTGTTTGCACTGGCAGGTGCTGCAGTCCTGTGGGGGTGGGGGTGGGAAGGAGGAGGGACAGCTGTGTCCCCAGCCGGGCTCCGGGGGCTCCTCCTGCCCATCTGGAAATAGGAGGGCAGGGCCCGGCCACATCAGGGCTGAGCGTTAAGGGGTGTCCCCCTGAGGACGTGGTGGCCGGGCTTGAGGGCAGGGTGTCCTAGCTGGAATTCCTTTCCTTCCTGTCTCAGGACTCCCTCTGGGCCGCCTCATTGTGTGCAGTCCGGCCCATGGGCACCCCTGCCCCTTCCAGCCACCACTCCCTTCTGCAGAAACTTGCTTGCTGTTCTCGGGGTGCACGGGGGTCCCCAGGCACAGAGAAGGGGGTCAGTCACTAGCACAGATAGAGCTGGGGGTGGAGAGGTCGGAGCCCCACGGCTGCACCTCCCTGGACACAGCCGGGATTCCTGCGCCCCTCCAAGTAAAACAAGACAAACTGGGGTCTCCTCTCTATTTTGCCAACCAAATCCACTTTTCAAGTTATTAGGGAAGCTTTTGACTTAAAGAGATTCTACTGCTCTGCCTTCTGGAAGGCAGCTCAGTCTCCACCCCGGATGACACCCCTCCCCCCAGTCATGTGTGCCTGCGGAGTGTCCTGCAGTGTCCTGGAGTGTCCTGTAGGCTTTGGTTGGGGGGCAGGCACCCGGAAAGTGGCCAGAGGTCCTGGAGACCTGGAATCCCTTCAGGGCAGCCTCCAGCCCGTGCTGAGTTTCAGCCTGGGTCCCTGGGGAGGCCCCACTCCTTGCCCTGCACCTGGGTGTGGGGGCGGCCTTGAGGGGCTGCCTGGCTTGGGAGGAGGCAGGAAATGGGGCCTCCACTAGCCCAGAGGGGTGTTTTTATGTGAATAAGAAAAAGACAGCCCTCTGTGCAGACACGGCTGGCTCTAGGGCAGAGGGCTTGGCAGAGTATGGCAACCCATTTGCACCCCCTTGGCTGGGTGCCCTTGTACAGTGAGCAGCTTGGACAACTGTGCAGGGCAGCCCTTCTGGGAAGTATCCCTGGGCCTTTCTTATCTTCTTATTAATCTGTCTCCCATTCCAAGTCCTCATTTCCTCAGTTAAACGAAAGTAGAAGGGACCACGAGGAGGAGGAGGAATCTGCTTCACGTTCTGGTTCCTTGAGGGTCTGTTACATGTGTCTTTCTTGGGAAAGCAGTTTCCACTTTCTACGTTGGAGCGAGGCTTTCTCAAGTCGTGGCTCTCTGGGCCCACATTGCTGAGATCCTGGCCAGCCCTGGGTGTCCCATGCTGCCTGTATGTGGTGGTGGTGGTGGGGGGGCTGGTCTCACTCTGGCCTGGCCTCCCCTCCTGGCCCCTGGCTTCAGTGTTGCTCCACCCAGAAAGCCTTGTGTCCGTCCCAGAGGGAGAGGAGCCAGGAGTCCCCCTCCCCCTGTCCTGCCCCCCGGGGTTTGTGAGCAAGGTGCAAGTGGGGGGCGGGATGCTTGGAGGGGGCAGGGAGGCCCCTCCCCTCTTCAGGTGAAGGAAGGCTGAGGGGGATGAAGAGTTGCCCCCAATTCTATCATCACTGCTCTCTTTAAACGTTGTTTTGAGAAATTAAAAAATATATGAAACTAGGTAAGTGACCACATCTGAGTTCCCTCTCCCCAGACTCAGCAACATTGATTGTTAACATTTTTAATATTAATCTTCACTCTGTCCCACCTCTTCCGGCTGTGACCTTTGCCCCTCTCCAAGTCAGCCCCCTCCCCCGCTCCCCAGAGCGATGCTCGCAGGACGTTGGTTTGGGTTTTTCCCTCTGATTCTGTGTATATGTAGCCGTGAACAAGAGACAATTTACAGAGCGACCTCAGTGCTGTCACAGAGTATGTGTCTGCAGCTGGCTTCCCCCTCATTTTTCGGTTGGTGACAGCTGTCCAGGTCGAGTACCATCTTGTGACAATATTTAGAAATACGCTCTCCCATCGATGGACACTTAGGTGGTTTCCCGTTGCTCTGGGTTAACGGTATTGCACATCAGCCCTGGACCCCTTGCTCTGCCCTACTCAGTGTTTTAGGCAAGTCCCTTTGGGCCTCAGTTTCCCCATCTCTAAATGGGGGGGGCAGGGCAAGATGGTGTTCCGAGAGGTGGGGGGGCCGTTGTCACGCACCCAGGGTCTGTAGGTCACTCCAGCTTCTCTCACCTGAGCTCGATAGACGTGACGTGCTGCTGATGGGGACGCGAGGGGGGTTTCCGTGCTGGGGGAGGACGTGGGTGCTGGGCCCGGCGGGGCTGGTTGTGCGGGCGGGGCTCGGGGCCGGGGCTTGGCCGTCAGCTCCCCCTTTCTCCACAGGGTCCCGAAGACGCCATGTGCCAGCCCAGCCTGGCCGCTCAGCCAGACCCGTTCCCCGGCCCCTGCACCCCGCTGCTTCAGGACTCTCTCAGCGGACAGCCCACCAGCCCCCCAGTCTGAGCCCCCACTGCCACACGCACGTCCCCACAGTGCACCCCCCCGGCACGTGGACACACGCCTGCACAGGTGTGTGCCGGCACTCAGGGATGGAGCTGCTGCTGAGAGGACTCGGGGAGACGCTCGTCAACAAGGACTGTTCTGGAACCTTCTCTCCAAGTGACCCACAGGCAGCGCCACAGTGCTGTGGGCATCGGGTCCCCTCCCTTGGGTGGGCTCTTGACAACTCACGCCACCCCTCCCCGGTCGTCCTCTCCATCAGTCTCAAAACAGTGCAGCCCCTCCTGGTGGCCCCTACGGGGACCGGGCTTCACCGCGAGGGCCAGCCACTGTCCCGACGTCCCACCTGGAGCGCAGACTTCCTGTGCCGCAGCCGGGTGGGCGGGGCTGCGCTGCCCGTGTCCTGGTCCCCTCAGGACCCGATCTCCCTGAGGCCACCCGGGCGCCGGGTGTGGGTGTCTGGGCCCCTTCCTCCGGCTAAACTGACATCGCCATGCAGACCGAGCCGGCGGCCCCGGTGGGGGCGGTGGGGGCGGCGGGGACTCTGCCCAGAGCTGCCCCCCAAGGGCCCTCGGCTTCCCGGTGCAGGGCAGAGGTGGGGGGCCGGGGGCCGGCAGCCCCGGGGATCTGGGCGGTGGGGAGACCCGACCTCTCGGGGCTCGGGGTCTCTGGGGCAAGCCTCTGTCACTTTTCTACTGAAAGAGAAATGAATTTTATTGTCTTTTGAAAATAATTCACTATTGAACTAATAAACCTTTTACAAAAGCTAACGCTCGCGTCTGTGACAGCCTGTTTGCGGGGGGGTGGGGGCTTCCTGGGAAGATCTGGGCTCTTCTTTTCTTGGTCAGTAGCTCCCTTCTGGCGGCTGCCATGGTGTCTCTCAGGGACAGGGCTGCTGGCCTGCCGGCCTTTCTGTTCTCAGATTTCAACCTTGTGTCTATTTAATGTTGCATATAAATCCCGCGTGAATGCAGGTCTTGTCTAGAAAGAGCAGGATCCCAGGCCCTTGGGGCCGTGCCCCAGCCCCCACGTAAGTGCCTCTGTCCCTTTGGCGTGGAGCCCGCCAGGCCGTTTGTGCGTTTGTACACACATCGACGTGCCCGCAGGACACCCCTAGTGCCGTCCTGGGCTCTTGCTTTTTCTTGTTACAGAAACGGCAGAAAAGAGAAGTGGGTAAGAGAACGGCGCGGGTTGGAATCTAACCTCTGCCTCTTACTGGTTTTGTGACTTTGGGCAAGTCCCTTGACGGCCTTGTGCCTCCGTTTCTCCACCTCTGATATGGAGATAATAGCACCTACCTCTTAGAGTGGCATCATGACGATTCAGTGAATTAACACATGAAAGGCTCTTAGGACACAGTGGGCCCCTGGTGGGGGCTTATAGGTTTGCCATCCTTATTATCTATTATCGTTTATCATTCTTGACTTTTTCCACCCCTGTTGGACACTGTTCATCTGTTCCTGTCTTGGAACGTTGTTCCCTGTTCCTACGTGTTGAGCTCCCTTGTTCTTTTTAATGGCTGCGTAGTCGCCAAGGTACAGACGATGATGTAGCCCCCTCGATGGGGTCTGAGTTGTTTCCAGTTTTCCCGTGTGGCAAAACAGCGTCCTTTCCCTCCTTCCTTCAATACTGAGCCCCTGTGATCCGCAGGGCGCTGCCCCAGGAGCTGGGATGTGACAGTGACCGAGACACCCTCGGACGAGCTTCTCTCGGGTGGATACAGAGGGGGAGTTGCACGGTCACTGGGCATGCCCTTTCAGCCTTACTGGACATTGCCTGATGACCCCGCAGCAGTCAGGGGCGCCTCGATGCCGCAGGGGCTGGGGGCAGGAGACTGGCCTCGTTTCGGCGCTGGGTCCTCGAGGCGGTGGTGGGTGGACCCAGGACTCCCAGGACTTGGGCTCGAGCCTGCCCCTCCGCCTCTGCGCCCAGCACGCCCTCCCCCAGGAGTGTTGACATCGAAAAGCTTTTCTCTTCTGTTTAAATAGTTGCAAAGGATGAATTTCCTGACTATTGTCATCACTGATGTTTTAAAATAAAACCATGTCATCACCCTTTTAAATGGGCCCCATGAGATCTGGAGATGATGGCGAGATGGTACTCAACAGCATTTTAAAAGGATACACAAACAAGCTCTTGTAGTCAGAAATTTTAGCCTTCTCCCCCTCGAAACTTTCCTTCTTTCCCCCTAGAATTTTAGCTAAATGTTACATAATCCATGCCTTTAGGTCTTATTAATCATTCTGTTTACTTCTCTGCAGCATAAATAGCTATTTAAGCTGAAACGGGTATTTTAATTTTTTTGCGTGACCCTAAAGGTTAAATGTTTTTTCGGCCTGGATCACCGTTCCACCATAGGAACACAATTGATCAACAATATCAATAGGTTTCACATTATGTTACATATCAAACAAAGAAGTAAACTTTATTGGAATGCATCTCCTTTTTATATGTATTTTATATCTTTTTGAAGTTGACAGACTAGAATCGACGTGTGTGGCCAGTTCTAGGAATTGTAACACGTATAGATCCGAGTGACCACCAACAGCCGAGACCCAGGACGATTCCATCAGCGCCCACGGGTCCTCCACTTCCCTCTCTGGGAGACCCTCCAGGGAGACCTCACCTCTGGCAACTGGGTAGTTGTGCCTTTTCCGGAATGTCATAAAAATGGAATCATACTGTGTGTAGCCTTTTGAGACTGGCTTCTTTCACTGGGCGTCTAGTCTTGAGATTCATATACGTTGTCGCCTGTATCAATAGCTGGTTTCTTTTCATGGCTGAGAAGAAGTGCATTGCGTGCATTTACCACAGGTCCTTAACCAGTCACAAGTTGAAGGGCATTTAAAGTTGTTTCCAGTTTTGGGTGGTTATGAATACAAAGCTCTGCAAACATTCGTGGACATATATTTTCATTTCTTTTGGTAAAATAGCTAGGAGCGGGGCTGCTGGGTCAGATGGAGACTCTGTTGAACCTTCCGAGGCTCTGCCCGAGGGTTTTCACAGCGGCCGTGCTGCTCTGCCTCCCCACCAGTCAGGGGGCAGGGTCTCCCATGCTCTGCATATTGGCCGGCGCCCTAATGTTTTCACTTTTTAAGAATTTTAATCATTCATAGAGGCATCTCGTTGTGGTTTTTATTTGCTGGGAAATACATTTCATAATGAGATGAATAAGACTTCCTCTCCACCCCCAATTAATTCATGTATCCTTGAATGACTATTCCTTATTGCTAGAATGAGACACATTTTGTCATCAATTCTTATTTTTGTAGATGAGAGGAGCCTTATTTACATAAATACGTAGCTGGGAGTGGAAGGACTGTCCCCATAGCAGTGTCACTCAATTCTTAACTCCTGAGTAGACGGAAAAAATCAGATGGTAATCTGTCATCAGCAAGCATCTTCACTCATCTGTCAGCTGACTCCATCTGACCGTGCTTCCCATCTGGAGAAAGCAGCCAAGTGGAAACCACTTACTTGCAAAAGGATTACTCAATCTTCACATTAGTTCTCGAAACCAATATTTGGGGTGTCCTTCCGGTGGGGGCTGGAGGGCAGGGGGGGCGCTGCGCCTGCCTGCCGCTGAGTAGGGGGGGGCCTCGTGAAGGGGCCGGAGGAATGGCCCCTGCGGCCTGGACCTGCTCTCGGGAGACCCGCAGGGGGAAAGCTCACGGGGTCCAGGCCCAGAAGCCGGTTCCCCTAACCCCCCGTCTGCTCCTCGTGGGAAGGTGAGCGCAGCAGCGGTCCCCAACATTAGATAGATAACCTGAGAGGATCAGTGACCTCCACGTCTGAGCCTCATTACAGACGTTTCTAACATTTGCATTCAACTCTATCTGCTCACAAAAAACAAAACAGAACAAAACCCACAAAAAACTCCATAAAGCATTCTGCTGTGCGTGCACGTGTGTGTGTGTGTGTGTGTGTGTGTGGGTGGGTGGGTGTCCCCCAGGGGGACAGAGGGCAGAGGAGCTGAATGTGCCCTCCACATGTCTCTGAGCATCCTTGTGCGGTTTAAACTGGTTTGCGTTTTGCTACCACCTCGGTCCCTAACCCAGCCACTCCTTCATCCGGGGCTCGGCCAGGAAACTGCCCTCTCAAGGCTGGAAGGACGGGCTGCGGACACCTTAAGGGACACGGAGTCAGGCTTCAGCCTGAGGAGCTCTCAGGAGTGTCCCTGACTCTGAGGGGCCCACGCTCTCACTCTATACCCCAACCCCACCTACTGTGCGGCTCCGCCAACTTAATATTTTTCTTTAATTTGACTCAATTTTTTCACTTAAAGAATTTTCTTTTAAAAGAAAAGCAGTTGTATCTGAACTTGTGGGTCCAGTGGGCAAGTTCTGTTTTTCCAGGATCCATTAAAACAGATACATCACGGTTAAAGATGTTCATCCAGGTACCACTGGACCTGCCCCATTCAAGGACTCTGCCCTGTCCCTTATTGTGTGCTGACTGCCCCATCTTCCCACTCTGCTTGTGGAATAAGTGTTACCCCTGTGTGGACCGTTGCCCTCCTTTCTGTCTCGCTCAGTCCTGGCCATCATCAAAGGCTCAATTCCAGCCATGACCCCTCCTCCAGGCAGCCTCCCTGATTGCTTCTGCTCACTCAGCTTTTCCTTGTCTTGGAATTTCTGGGGCACTGTCTGTACCCTAGATCTTTTAGAATGTTCTAGAATACTAGAAATCCTAACTCCAGTTGCTGTAGTCCCAAACCCCAAAGGCCTGTGATGTAACCCCTAGTACCTGAAATTGTGCCAGAAACTGGAAGATGCTTAACCAAGACGGCGACTCACTTTCCTCGGCATTCCTTTGCCCACTCAGATGGTCATTCTTTCCACAAATGTTTATGCACTGTTCTTCCTCATTTGAGAAAAAATGAGAATAATCTAATACCTGCCCGGCAGGCTCAGCGTGGAGCTCAAAAGAGCAGGTGGCTCCGCGGGAGGGGTGCGGGGTGGGGACCCTGCGTTCAGGCCCCCTGATCTGGAGCTGTCTGATGTCACTGGGGTCTCTCCCCCGGAGGCTCTGCCAGCCCGGGCCCCGGGTCTCCCCGCTCCCCGCGTGTCCTGTGTGGTCCACTCCCCATGCGGTGGCCTGGGAGGGCTTTCTGAAAGTAAACGACCGCAAGGTCCCTCCCTTGCTGACATCTGTGCGCGGCTCGCCCCACTGACACCAAGCCCCCCTCTCGGGGCTGCTGGGAAAATCCCTCCCTCCCTCCGCCCGGGCGCCGGGCTTCTGGGCAATTCCCGGCGCGGCCACTGGGGGGCGAGCTGTGCACACAGGCCGCTCAGAGGCCGCGTTTTACGCGGCGCTGCGGGTGACGCTCAGGGTGGTCCTTAAATT